AGTCGCTGAGTATACGTTATCCGAGAACATCGCTTGATGCGCCTTCATCCCCATCGGAGTATACGGTGAGGATGGACTCATCCCTGCCGGTGATCGAAGGTCAGATCCCATGGTTCCCTCGTAGTAGGCAACGGATAGGTATTTAAATGACCCACCTCCCATTGGATCAACCAAGACTTGATCCATTGTTGCACCCGACATTTGGGACATGTGCATTTGAGTCATAGGAGAGGAGGTTAAGGAATCGACAGACATTCGATGGCCATTTGGCCCAAGAGGACTGCCTGGCATCTGCGGACCTACTGGACTGGGAGGAACAGACACTGTGAGGGCGCTGGTCACGGGGCTAGAATGCGAAGTCCCCGTCAAAATCTGCTGCGGATCGGCAAACATCGCGGTCATCGAGGCCTGCATCTCGGGACCCGAAATGCTGCCAACCCCCATCATGCCCACAGCGCTGAGTTCGGGCGTCGACGAGTCCATCTCCGAGTACGACTCCATGGTCGTTGGTAACCGGCCCATGTCGCCTCCCATCTGGCTGAGTTCCGTGTTGCTATACGCCGATGGGCTGACCATGCGTGAAAACGAGTCGTGATCACTCATAAAATCCATATTATATCCATTAGCCAGAGATCTCCGTCGCAGCTCGCGAGCGTTCTCTGCTACAATCTCGTCCATACCGACCCCTACCATGCCGGGTGTTGATGCTCGCCTGAGGCCAGGCCCAGGTCGCTGCTGTTGTTGCTGCTGTTGCTGTTGTTGCTGCTGTTGCTGTTGTTGCTGATGCTGCTGTTCAGCAGGACTAGACCCGTTCATTCCTCGGGGACCTGCATTTCTGACAGCCATAGTATGGGGCATCGTGTACTGGTGAGTGTTGTCGCCGCCGATATAGCGGTCCAGTTCGTTTGGATCCAATTCCATCATCATCATCGCGAACCCTTGATCAAGCCCGATCTCGTACTCAGATCGGAAATGTGAAGGGAGCGGGACTGATAAAGGGTGCCGTCACACCTTCAGAGGGGGCTGCTGACAATAAGTCTGGGGGTGTGAGGGGGAGGGGGGTGGCTGCCTTTCAGAATGGGTTCCCAGGTTTTTTGTGTGTCTTGGGGGTGGGTATGGTTCGGAAGGAATTTTGGGGGTGGAGGATTGATGGGGTTTGGGTAAGGTACTATGTAGGTATGGGTGAGTACAAGAGGGAAGCCGTTGAGGGAGTTGCTATTACTGTTATTGGGAGGAAGAGGGCTGGGTTTTGGAGTGTTGTGTCTCGGGCCAGCAGGCAATGGTGGTATGTATAAAAAATAATTGCAATTGCAACAACCTTTTTTTTTTCTTCTCTGGAAAAAAATAATACAGAAAGCGGGAGTTTTTTTTTAGTTTTAGTATGGGATAGGCAATTCCTGAAGAAGGGCAGCAGCAGGCTGTTCTAAGGAAGTCTGATCTGAGAAAAAAATCTCGGGATTAACAAGCAAGCGAGATTTGAGAGCGAGGTGAGCTGTGTATGAGAGAACAGAACACTCCCTGGTGGCAAACACTTTGTGATGAATAGACACCGGCTATCTTGGAGGGGGGTTTATTTGGTTTGGGGGGGGGGGGGGGGTGTGTAAGAGACCGGGGTGTATGGATGGATGGATTTTTGGGGGGGGGGGGGGGGGGGGTGGGGTAGGGATGGGATATGTGGATGTGGTATGTAGGTGTGGGTGTTGTGGACCTTGTCTAGGTAGTGGTGGTATCTATGTGGAGGGTGCGTGTGGAGGTGGTATTTGGTGGCTGTCTGCTGCTGGTCGGTGGATTACTGACTGGGATTGTTGTAGACGAGATGTACCAGTCAGTCCGTAACTCTTCTGTGGGTATCACCGACAGGGTAGTGAGTCTCCAGAGAGAGGAGGAGGGGGAGGGGGGGGTAAACGGGGTTTGAACTGTCGCTCTACTACGCTCTGAGACGAGACGTGGTGTGGACAACTCTTTGGCGGTCACTCGGAAAAGGGTATTATGTGGTACGGTACTCTACAGTTAGGCCTTAGCTCGTAGTTAACTGGGTATTCTGTTTGGAAAAGCAGCGAGCAGTGAGCGGCTCGGGCGTTGCAGGTAGTAAATCCGTAGAAAGCAGCGTTATGTACGGTACGTACGGTACATACAGTAGGGCAAGCAATAGCACGACAGCCAGAGTAGTTGTTGGGTGACGCAGATCGATCGGGCGAAACAGGACACAGGGTAAGGGTTTATAATTATTATTTCAATTCTAAGCAGGTAGACCGTAGACATGTATCTCTATGCTGTTTATGACCCCCCGCCTTCTCTTCTCCCCACTCAGAGATGTAGGTACTGTATCAGTCTGGATGTAGACTACCCAGTATGTCTTTGTTTTTCTGCTGACAAGTTTACCGTATCGTCAACGTTGACTGGTGAACCTTGCGGACCGACAGTTACGAACCGGGGCAAGCGGCAGGCAAAAAGAGCATGTACTCGTACATATGTAGACAACCAGGCAACGTGATGTGAGAAAAGGGGAAAGAAAAATAAATGTGTGGAAAGATATCCGGATGGATAGGTAGGCCTAGCTGGGTGGAGGGAGAAAAATGAAATAAAAAAGATACCCAGATGCCCTGCTGGTTCAGTATGTAGCTAGATCGACTCGACAGCCTCGAGGGTACTCCTACGTTTCTGCTCACTTTTTCTTCTGCGCCTGCTGCAAGTCTGCCGCAACAACACAGCAGCAACCCACAAGCGTGGTCTGAGCTGAGCTGCGGTTCGCTCTCTTCAAGCCAGAGCAAGCAGCACCCTATGGAGGCACGGAATCACTTCGTGTCCTGTCGAGTGCGATGATGTCGGTGCGAATCGTGATCGTGGAGTGAATCTGTGATTGCGGGGATGGTGACACTGTTTTGTTGTTGAGAAGAAGCGCGTGGTATTCCGCGCTGCTCTTGGGAGGGGGTAGAGATATAATCCTCAGAAAAAGGAACTCAGTGGATAAAATAATATCGCTTGCTCTGCTTGGGTAAGAAGATGAAGAAGTATCTATAGTACCCATGCCTACATGATACCCTAGGCTACGCTACCCACTCACCACACCGCGCCTTGGGAAGACGTACAGACAGCTAAGTACGGAGACGACGGACATCATGCTCAGTAACTCACGACGTCTTCATCTTCTGCAAGTAAGTGAAGTGACCAATTAACCATTAGTGGTACATACTCTTCCCACCGACAACAACCCCCCCCCCCCCCCCCCCTCACAACTCCCTCGTGCATCCCAAAGGAAGACACAAGAAAATGACAGACGGACGGAAAGAGAGTGGGCACATCTCAATCCGTTTCTTCATCCGTCGAACCAGACGTCTAAACGGGCTTCGTGTTTCGTTGAGCAAAGCTACACATAATATGTGTCTAGAGTAATCCCCACTCATTGCAACATCTTGTCCCACCCGCTCAGCGGTCCCCACGACATGACATTATTATTATCATCATTACTCTCTTCTCTCACTTCATCACACTTCTACTACATAGAACTCAACCTACCCCCAACCCACACGGAAGTGTGACAGCTCCCGGCAGCCAATGCCATGCGCAGAGGAAGAGAGGGGGGAAGTGATTTCTAAAATGCATGTTGACGGTCTAAGATCCATAGAGATATAATTCAAACTACCCTCATCACAAACAGCAACAGTAATCCCTCTCCGTTAGAGGAGCTCAGAGGATAAATTGTTTTCCGCAACACCCGGGTGCTTCCCGATATATCCCTCACCAGGTAAAAAAAAAGAGTTACATTGCTCTACTTTAGATACGGCAATCCAATCTAGCTAGCTAGTACTAGTACCAACGGTTCTTCCATCCAAGGGGAAGAGCTACCTAGAAGGAAGGAAGAAAGTCGATAGCTGGCCATATTAGCTACATAGCTACCACAACCTCCCCATTTGATTCGCTTCGTTGGTCCATGGTGCTTCTTCTTCCTCTTCGCCGGCAGCTCACTCACTCAGCCTATTAGCAGCCAAGGATAGGGATGTTATGAGTGAGCCTCACCTATACTACCTACGTACCTATTCTACACCACAGTAGAGTTTTTCCTTTTAATTTCCCCATTTAATTTTTCGGTGCCTGCCTCTACTAGTATACATACATACGTACCCTGACGTAACCTATCTCTCTCCCCTTCCCCAAAGGAATTATTCACACACATGGGGTAAAGGAAGAAGGAAGGAAAGAAGAACGAAGGGGACCAAAAAAAAACAAATATATGCAAAAAAAGGAACTTAAACATTCATAGAATATTCTCCGCCCGGTATCATATCACACACACGCACACCCACACACACACACGCACCACACATGACAATCCCACTCCGCGTTTCGGAGGTCGGCGGGCATGGATAGGTGGGGAGTAGGCGGAGCATTATTTTTTTCTGATCTCCCCAAACCCCAGGAAAACATTCCGGTGAGTTATGTACGGGTACATGCTAGTACATAGGGGTGTGAAAGCGAGAAACTCGGATTTCACACGGACGTTGAAGATCCGGAGGATCAAGAGTAAGTAAGGTAACGAACTGCTTAGGTAGCTGGCTGCAATGATCATGACTGCATATTACTTTTACAAACGGTCGAACTCCACCCCACCATCTCTCACTCACCACCACCACCACTCACTCGCCTCGATTGCATACATAACCCAACCCCAACATTAATCGGTCATTTATCCGGCTGTCCCGCGCGCGCTTCAATTGATCTATTTTTTTTTATTTTATTTTTTTTTAATTCTCGAAACTGACCGACCCGACGACTGAGTTGAGTTTTGCTTCTAATATCTAAATTTCGCGCGCTCGCTCTAATAATACTGGCTGTTGATGTTGGTTTGCCAGCTACTCTACCAAAGGATGTACCGTAGGGCTTTCTTCCCTTAATTTCTCGACTCTATCATACTACCCAACCCCCAACCCCCCCCAACCCAACCCCCCCCTTCTCTCCCGCCCGCCGCCTCGTCTCCCCGGCCCGGCTCGTGATGGCCCTTCTTAATTCAGAATCACCAAGTGTTCTTCAATTGCACATACGAGCGCATCAATTGTTTCCTTCGTGGTTCGACTGTTCACCACCGCACGGAAGAATTCGCCGTATGTTGGGTCTGGCGAATAGTCTATCCCGCACACACCACGCAACGCAAACCACCGAAAGCAATCAATATTACTGTTTTTTTCTTTACCTTTCGGGACTTTCACCCCCCCCCCCCCTCTTCCCTTCTCTCTCCGGGGAAGGTGGAGCAAGCGGAAATGAAATTGATAAAAGAAGAAGGAACACCCACCAATCATAAACCCTTTAGCCACTAACTTGGCCGCAATTGCTCTTGTCGTTGTCGTGTTCCTACCCAAAGAAAGAAAGAAAAAAACGATTAACCAAGTTTTATTCTTTTTCTTCACTTTTTTATTTTCCTGCTACTTGCACCGCGGTAGCCGCTTCGCTTGGGGGGGGGGGGGGGGCCGGTGAATGACTTACTTCTTTGCATTGTCGAACAATACTCCTTCGGGGGTGTAGTAGAAACACCTGCATTTTATCTATCTGTTAGCTCAAGTTTTTCTGGTCTCGAACATTGTTTATCTCTTCTATTTCACCGCCTCTCAGTGGCGAGGATTCAAGCCACGACCAGATGTGCAACAGGGGGGTTGGGGTGGTGGTGGTTGATTGATATTCATGAGTACCTATCTGCAAGGGAGACAGATAGAGGGAATATCCTTCGTTTCATGACGTAGGGGATGAAAAGAAAAGACACAAGCCAGAGACACGCGAACGATGGATGAATGGGACAACTTACACCTGCAAACAGGGCGGAGGATTTTCCGAGACGAGATGGAAATACGTCTTCTTCTTCAACACATTTGCAAAGTATGCTGCCATTTCAAAGGCATGGTCGATGCGCTCTAGAATGAATATAACCTGCGTTAATCATTACCCCCACTAGCTAGTTCCAACTTCCCGACCAATCGGAAGTCACGCACAGAGACATTGTGTGCAGGGATCATGCGCATCCTCCAAGAAAGATACGCTGAACAACCACTCCATACAAGAGGCAGAAGGCAGCAGAAGAGGAAAGAAGAGAAGAAGAGGAGACAGGGTGAAAGGGAAAAAAGAATCGTACCTTGATAACCGTCTTTACCATAATAAATCCAGCCGAACGCCATCTTGAGGGAGTCCCCGCGGCGGCCGCAGCCCATGGTCATCTGGGCCAGGTCGTAGATCTCATCTTCTCCGTCTTCTTCAGTTTCGTGAAATAAACTACACACACCCCCCACAAAAGAATTTCCCCACAAAGTTAGGCAAAATTGAAAGCGAAAAAACAAACATTTACCAGCAGTCAGGCAACCTTTACGATGCTGGGGTACAGGATGGAAAACGGGAAATCTCTCCGTTCCAGATTGCTGGCTAGCTGGCATGGATAATTATCATAAAAAAATGAAGAGTCACAGTACCGAAAATGCGAGATGAGTTTGCTATCCAGGCGGTAGATATTGTGTAATTAGAAATGCCTGGATTTGAACCAGCATTCTACCGAATACACCGCCGCAATACTGCAACTCCTCATCCGCATTTTCGGTACTGCACTTATCAATCTCGCCAAGCCATCCAACCTCATCCATCCCATACCCCGTCAATGATCATCGCAACAACAAACACGATCGCACCAAAACGGCGCCAAAATCCTTATCAAAAACGCTAAAAGGGGGGGAATGGAGTACTCACTACCCAGCGCGCGCCATCGTAGCGCCCCAAAATCTTCTCCGATCATTCGTGAGCAAAAAACTACAAGTCATCGGCACACCCAACATCTTGTGCGGGTTCATCGTCATGCTGTCCGCTCTCTCTACACCCTTCAACCTCCACTTCTGGTTCTCACTAAACGCAACGCTACCGCCCCAGCTCCCATCAACATGGAACCACAGCCCATGTCGTCTACACACGTCACCAATCTCTTCAAAAGGGTCGAACGACCCCAACACCGTTGTACCTGCTCCCGCATTCACATAGAATGGTGTGAAACCCTCCTCCTTGGCCTTTATCACTAGGGCCTCGAGGTCTATGAGGGTCAATGATCAGCGAGCATGTTTTTTGCGATTGGCTTCCGCAATGATACATAGCAAGAGGGAGCTTACCAGAGACAATCATGCGGCCCTGCTTATCCACAGGCACCGTCCAAACCGCCTCACTCCCGAAGCCACAAAGGATTGCCGCCTTCTCAACGCTGTAATGTCCGTGCGCGCTGGTGAAGACGACGAATCGGTAGGCTCCGTTACCTTTAGTCTGGGTATCGGGGAAGAGAGAGTTGCGCGCAATCACCATCGAGGTGCTGTTAGATGCGGATCCGCCCGGTAGCGTCATGCCGCCGGCATTAGGGGAGTTGAAGCCCATGAGATTGGCGAGCCGCGCTGTGGTCGCTTTCTCAATAATTGTTAGAGCGGGGGAGACTATTTGGTGTTAGCTTGGCGCTGGGATGAGCTCCATAGAGCTACTCTTGGCTCTCAAAAAAATGGGCTAGGAAGGAATTGGACCTTGGTATACATGGACCTGCACAATAGGAATCCCATATCTCGTCAGTTCTGCATTCCACTAATTTGGAGCTCCAAGCTATTCCCTCTGGCAAAAACACCTCCAATATCACGGGTAATGGGTTTTCGCCAAATTGCCTCTCCCCCCAAAAGCAAACTAGGAAAAGAGTCCAAACCTACATTGGTATTCAGCACCGCCAGCACCAACTCACTCACCACGCCCACCGGATCCGTGCTCGCATACAGCTTATCCATAAACCCGGGGCTCCACGTATTAACCGAGTACCTCAGCACCTTCTTGACGACCGCCAGCAGCCCCTCCTCGCCGCGGCCCTCCGCCGCCGGCAGGTCGAGGTCAAACACCGCGGCGAGCTCATGCGGTGGCAGTGGCTCCGTGATGAGCTTGCCCGGCCCGGCGCCGGAGTCGGCCGTCGATATGAAGCCGTACAGATAGGGCTGAATGAGCGCGAGGAGCTTGAGGGGGGGTGCATGGGTTAGCGCGAAGTAGTAGTAGACCGGGGGGTTTGGGGAAAAAGGGGGGGGGGGGGTGCGTACTTGCTGGACTTCTTGGGCGCGCCCTACTGCTGAGTGGGGTTTGCTGCAGCTGGTGCTGCTGGTGGTTGTTGTGGACGGCATACTATTGGAAATTGCAGGTGAAGAGACTTTTTATTTTTTTATTTTTATTTTGGGTTTAATTTCTCTCTGATATGCAGTTGATATGCGGAAGAATAGGGACAGACCAGACAGACAGGCAAGACAGGGTAGCAAAGGGAAAAAGGTGTGCACGTTGCGGCACAGGATAGGACAGAAGGGAAGGGGAAGGGGGGGGGGGGGGAGAGGTGAAGGGACAGAAGAAGAAGAGAGTCAAAGAAAGGGCCTGGCAAGTGCGGCTGATGATTCATGATTATTGACTTGTGCTTAACCAAATAGGTAACAGCTGTCCTATGATAAACCTTGGGGGGGGGGGGGGGGTGAGAAGAGTGGAGTCACTCGCTGACAGTGGAGTGGAGGAGAGTGCCGGCCGGTGGATGTCGCTTTGCTTTAGCTTAATAGCATATATCCCGGTCGCTAGAACTGGCCGAGGAGAGGTTGAAGCTTGTGAAAGATGGATGTTGATCCATCAGGGCCTGGGGGGGGGAATCACGCATTTTTGGTTGTTTGTTTCGTTTCACGGAGTATTTCGATTATATTAACCATCAGGTAACAAGACGTAATAGCAGCAACAAGTAACTACAGCACAGCACACAGCACACATCAGCGGAAATCAACTACCGCGGTGGCAGAGTATTTTAATAAAAATGAATATCATGCTGTGTCCAGCCTTTTTCCTTTTGGCCATGGTGCGGGTTCGGAGATTTGGAGAAAAGAGAGAGAGAGCTGAGAAGAAAAAAAAAACCCCCAATAAAAGAGCAAATAAACAAAGCAAAACAAAAACAAAACAAAGCCATTACAGCAAAATGGCGTCATATTAATTTTCGTCCCAACTTTTTATTTTCATTTTTATCCCCCATTGTTGAATTCGATTTTTTTTTTCTTTTTCTTTTCCCTAAAAATTTTCATGCTTGGCTTGTGATTGGCCCGTGCCCCCCTTGCGCACCCCTGGCCCTCGCGCTCGCCTGGGACACCGACTGACATCATTGGCCAGGGTCTCGCCCATGTCAACCTCACCTCTCCTCTGTTCTGGAGTAACCCCAAATAATCAATAATCATAATCAACCAACCCCCATCCACGGGCTGGCATGGAAATCAACAAAAGAGACCCCCATGCACCCCAATAGAGTACAGTAGCTAGGGAAAGTAGGGAAAACGTCCACTGCCGGACAGGACGGTTTTTCTTTATTCCGTACGCCCTTTTCACCCTCTTTTAGCTCAACTAACCTCTCTGGAAAACCCCTCCCTAGAAGACACTACGCTTTTTTTTTATTGTACACAGTTTAGCCGCATTGGCAGCAGCCTTTTGATTAACCCGGTCGGCCCTGGCTGGCTGGTCCCGGACTTCTCCCTCGCTTTCAGATTTCTGACTACCCTCTATCTAATCTTCATGCCCTATCTTCCACCTCTTCCACCTCTATCACGCGACACGCTGCCTCTTAGTCGCCGTGGCCACTGCATTAGAGCCAGAGCCTGTCTTCGGCTGCCCGGACGCCGCCCTCTTAGCTGCGTGCCGTTCCCGCGCAAGCTAGTAATAAATAAAAAAACACCCGTAGTTAGCGCACTGCCGAGAAGTAGAGTAAAACGTAAAAAAACCCGTGAGGGGGGGGGGAAAACCCCCCCCCCCATTTCCCTCATTCCCCCCATTCATTCCCGCCATCCCACAATCCCGACGGGGGGCCAAAAAACAACTGTTGCGACTTACCTCAATTGCAGTCTTCTTCCGCTCTCCCTGCTGCTGCTGCTGGTGTGGACCCTGAGCTGCTGCTGCACCACCACCGCTGCCGCTAATCTTCAGCGCGCCCACCCCGCTCGCCAGCGACGACGACGCGGCCTCCTTCGCCAAGCCGAACCACTCGTTCCGGCGCGTCTTGTATTTATCCATCGCCCAGTTGCGCCACACAGTGCGGCCAAAGAAGCTCTCCCTCATCTCCGGCTCGGCCGCCAGCAACTCCACCGCAATGGCCTGCTTATAGTTCATCAGGCCGCCCGTTGCGGGCCACGCCGCGTCCGCGATGTGCGAGCCCACCTGGTGCGTCGCCAGCCGCGCCCACGCGCCGCGCAGCTGGTTGAGCAGCTTCCGCCGATCGGGCGTGGCCGAGTGCGGCGACAGCAGGAAGGCCTGGATGACGTGGGAGCCCTGCGCGTGCTGCGAGAGGGCGACGAGGGTGGCGCTGCTCTGCGCGACGAGCGACGAGGTGATGAGGGGGTGGAAGGGGCTGGGGAGCTGCAGCATGGATTGCGCGAGGAGGGAGCCGTGGCGCTGCTTGGGGTCGCGTTTGGGCTTGGGGGCTTCTTTGCCTTCTTCTAGGGGCTTGGGCGTCAGGTCTTCGGGGGTTAGGGCGAGCATCTTGAAGATGAGCTGCTCGGGGGTGCAGTTGTAGGCGTCGGAGATTGCCTGTTGTTTGTATGGAGTATTTTAGTTTTAGGGCACGAAATAGAACATAATGATAATGCAGAAAACCTGGATGTACCTTTGCGATCTCAGTTGCGTCGACTTCCTGCTTTCCGCAGACGTCTATCAAGGTCTTGATAACCGCGACTTGGCCCCTCTCTATAATTTTAATCATCAGCCATCACTCGCCCCATCCCATCCCATCTCGTGAACAAAAAAAAAAAAAAAAAAAGAATTCAAACTCACCAATCATTCCCCCAACTTCCTTCAAAATCTCGCCAATCGCCTCCTTCATCACATCCTTCCCCAGCTTCTCCAGCACTCTGACCACCACAAACCCCGCCGTCTCATTCCTCGCCAGACTGCCCATGCGCGTCCTGAAATGCGCCTTATAGAGCTTCTTAAACTCCTTCTTCGGTGCATAGCTCATGATCTTCTCCGCCAAATGGCTTCCCACGGGATCATACAGCAAGTTCGAAAAGAAGCTCGACGGCCTCTTATCCTCCTCCCCCTCTCCACCCTCCCCCTCCTCACCACTAATCCCCGTCAACTTCCCCAGCAGCGTCACCTCCTCCTTCCCGCTCCTCTTCCGCTCATTCCGCGACCTGCGCATCTCCAACTGCAGCAGCACCTGCAGCGTCGGGCTCCCAATCGGGTGCACGGCCATGGCGCGGATCTCCTCGACGTCCAGGCCCGCGCCCACCGTCGCCACGATGCGCTCCACGGCCTCGGCGAACGACGCGGGCACCTCGATCGCGGCGCCGGCCTCGCGCGCCTCGGGCGGCGCAAAGTCGGAGACGACGGAGATGTTCTTCTTCTTGCGGCTCTGCACGAGCGACTGCGAGGCGGAGGAGGACACGGGCTGGCCCGAGAGGATCAGCAAGAGCGCGCGCAGCGGGTGCGAGGCGAAGGTGTGTGAGAGGAGGGGGATGATCGAGGGTTCGATTTCCTGGGAATTGACTTGTTAGTACTGGTCCGCATAGAAGTAGGTAGGTAGTGGTGCTGGTGGTGGTACATTAAGCATATAGAGGAACAAGCTCTCCATACTCGCAAAGACCTCGTCGCCCTGCGTCTCCGTCTCTCCTCCGTCCGCCACATACGCCGGGTCCATCTCTCGTGAGGCCACCACCACCGAGCGCTCAAACAGGACCTCGCAGCAGTGGGAGGCGAAGCGGTGCTGCACGAGGTTCAGGAAGTGGCCCGTGAAGACCTTCCACAGCTTCTTGAGCTGCGGCGGCGTCGACAGCAGCACCAGCTTCTCGAGCAGCCGCGAGCAGCCCTGGCTGCTGGCGATCTTGAGCTCCTTGCCGTCGGCCTCGCGGTAGACGTTGGCGATGAAGAGGCCGCGCTCGTCGGCGTCGTTGAAGCTGTTGCTCTCGAGCACCTCGTCGGCGCCGCGGAAGTACTCGGCCTCCTCGTCGGTGAGGAGGCCGTAGAATTGCGAGTCGTCGGGCTGCTGGGCTGTGGGTTTTTTTGTTCTAAAAGTCAGTGTATATATATATAAAAACCAAAGGATGCTATTTTACCAGGCCATTGTTCACCTCCGTCGCCGTAATATGCCGCCTCAGCTTCCTCCTCCGTCTGCCCTGTGATTGGGACAAAGTTCGCATTCTGCTCGACCTCGTCTGCTTCGCGCTCCTCCTTGCGCTTTTTCTCGGCCCGGCGACCGCGCTTCTTGATCTCTCTGGGCATTTTTTGTGTTTGCGTGGGGGAATCGTTTTTTTTTTTTTGTTTGGTTACTGCGTGCAGGCAGGCAATCATGAGAGGAAAAGTTTATTAGAGCCTCATGCACGGGGTCCTTGGCATCACGTGGAGCTGCGCGTCTATTACGCGCGGGTGCAGGAGAAGCAGGAGAAGCAGGAGAAGCAGGACGGGCAGCGTCTTTGTCAATGCGGGTTCAGGCGGTGCAGGGAGAGCGAGAGAGAGGCCTGTGGCATTGAAGGGCATTGAAGGGACGCGGTCCGTTGCGAGCGTGTGGCGGTGTGGCGGTGTGTGTGCTCTAGTCATGGATTCTCACTCGCCCCACTCTCCGGTGAGCCACGGTCCTGTCCGATCCATTGGCGCGGCGGGAGCATCGGAGACAGGCAGAAGAGCTCCGTTGGCGGGCTGCAGGCCTCATGTGGGACTTTCCACGCGCGTTGCGGGATATACATGTCGTCTACAAGCGCAATGCGGCCTCCCGCAGCAACCTTAAACACGGACAATCACACGGATACACGTTGGTTACCGCTCTACGTACTTCCCGGATGAAAGATAACCACGCCTTGACGCACTTGAAGAACTGGATGCAAGGGCCCAAGCCACGATACTCGCCATCATGTAAAACTCACCACCACCGCCTGTGACTACATTTAGCACAGTAGTACATGTAGTCAGAAACCGTATTATCTATCAGAGGGGAAATGAGAGCAACCACAGCTCCCCAACCCACAAACAAAAGCTAATAATAGCAGAACAGGCCTCCCAGCCCTGTGTGTAGCGGGCAGAATCGCCGTGACACTATATTGGCTATCTCCCGATTCACTTCTCCCCCCAATAGACGACGGGTCCGGATACTTTCCTTCTATCGCATCATCACATAGCCCCGCTCTCTCCCCCCCTGCGAGCAGCAAGCTACTCAGGGTACGAGCCTATGTACCCGCCCTCCTTAGCCCATGATCATCCTCCCACAAGTAATTTACCCAACCCCGCCAATCTGCTACATATCAACCTAGGCTCGTCCCCACCCCCTCTACTTCCATCTTGCTGCTAAGTAGGGGATGGGTACGAGACTAATATCAACCCATTATATCATCTCACCGCTCTCTCTCTCCCCCCCCCCCCCAATAAGTAACCACGTGCTCAAGTGAGATGACCATAGACCCCTACTCTACTCTACTCCCTGCCATACCAATACGAGTATACCCACTACTGCATTAGTGTACGTATGTACAGCTACAGCTACACGTAATCTAGAGACTAAGCACCATATTTCCACCAATAGCTATACATCCAGTACAGGAAATATCTTAAATCCGGCCGCCAACCTCGAGTTATCCCAAGCCATGATGTAGTATATATCGACAGACCACACGAACGTAAAGATTGATGTCTATCTCTAGGGGGCACATGTAGGTATGTACAACATGACAGGGCAGATAGAGTGACTCCTCTGGGAGTAATTAAATCACTCCGCATAACCCGTTTGCTGCGTACGCACTACTACTCTTCCTTCTATCTTAGGCATGACATGTCACCAAAAAGAGAAAGAAAAAAAAAAAAAAAAAAAAAAAAAAAGGCTTTTGTCAAACACTTTTGGATGTTGGCCCGAACTACCACGGAGAGTACGTATACTGGATGCCTTTGTCATGTAGTCATTACAGCGCAGACTAGAATATTCGGGTTGTTCCAGAACGGAATGCCATCTCTACGGGCCAGGTGTGGAAACGCATCAATCAATTCCACACAACGAAAACGCAGGAAAAAAAGGCATAAATGATGCATTAACACCGGGTGTTGCCGGGAAAATGTCTTTACATTGAGATACACTTTTTCCTGATGCCTTTCCCGCGCTATTTGGCATACTACTGCAAGGGCTAGATAGCCGTTGGATATTAGATACTTGTTTATAAGAAATTACGGTGTAGCTAGGTGACAAGAAACAAGGTTGATATATGAGAATACCTCCTAGAGTGCATACATGATTACATGCAGATCCCATTGCTATTAGCGCGCTCCCTGGACCATGCATGCTTATAAAGCAATCTTTGGATGCTCTACTCCAAGGGGGGTGCTGTCGAGGCGCGTGTTGATGTTGGACTTTCGGGCCTAGGAGTGAAATCTCCGGGCTGAGGAGGCTTTTTTTTTTATATTGGAGTTTATATACTGCATGGAGTTTTGTATCACGGATTTCATGTTTGCCAAGGACCATCTTCCGTGGTTACTTGAGAAGGGTCTAGAATACTTTCTTGGCACCTTTTTTTTTTTTTTGGGTACATGTATATATAGGTCTATATTATTTTTTTCCATATATATCCCGTTGCAATAATCAAGTAAAACGTCATAGTATTCCGCCGAAAAACATCAGTGCGCAAGTCCACAGATGCGAGTGATATTCTGTGATGTGAATCTATTTCCAAGTACTGGGTTCAAAAGACCAGTTCACACGAATATGTTTGCTAGCTTGTTCTATACAAAATTTTTAGCAACTAGGAAATTTTGGGCTGGCTTTCTTATCATGAAGGATGGATTTTAAGTACCCTTTGCCTAAATTTCATTACTGACAATTGTAACTCAAATGACGCTAACGCTCATGTTTTCCCTTGAGAAATTTATCCTGAAAATAACCCGAACACAAGAAGAACCCAACTGAAAGAACGTGACGGGAAGAAAAAGAAAGAAAGAAAAGAAAAAAAAAAAGAATGCCTCCTCACGCCCTCTTCATAACCACCCACCTACCCGCCCGCCCCCTTCGCCAAACGTGTGATAATAAAAAATTCAAAAAAGTCCTTCCCTCCAACAAACCAATCTTTCCTAATTCTTCATCAAGCCCCCAGCTGGTTTCCTCCAGAGTCCCTTAGTCGTCTCCTCAGCCCCCCTCTCCTTCTGGTTTTCAGGACTGATACTCAAGGCGCCATCCATAACGCCGCCTTCCCTCAGCTTGTTGATGGCCCTTATGGTATCGATGGCTGCGTGGAGGGTTCTTCTGGCATTGAAGTTCTTCCTCACAACCGGGAGCAAATCTGCCGCTTTTCCGAGGTGATCCTCACTTAGGAACGGGTGCTCCAGGGCCTTATGTGCTGTCATCCGGTCCTTTGGATCAACAGTGAGGCATTTGCGAATAAAATCACGGGCTGTTGCCATTGTTAATTATGGGGAAAAAAGGGGGGGTGATAGTGTGTGTATGGTATATACCTGTTTCTGAGACGTTTTCCCAATAGTCTTTTGGTTCAAACTTGTAATCTGCAGCAAGAATTGCCTGCATTTCTTCCACGTGAGAATCACGATCAAATGGAGTATACCCGCAGAGGAGAAAGTATGTGATAACCCCGATTGCCCATACATCACTAAACAAAGAGTTGTGTATGATCAGTATGCGTAGATCCACACTCACACGCAAAAGGAAAGAAAAGAAAAAATACGCCATTGATGGGGGAGTTTCAAGACGGGGCTATTAAAAAGGGGCAAGAACGTACACTGGCTTCCCGTGACCCGTCTTTTTGAAAATTTCGGGTGCCATATATCCTGGTGTTCCACAAGTGGTCGTGAGCACGTGAAACTGCTCCTCATCCATGATCCTCGAAAGACCAAAATCGGCAATCAATAGATCAGAGTTGTCTTCTGCAGTCCTGAAAAGAAGGTTTTCTGGCTTCAAATCCCTATGTACAATCCCATGGTCATGAAGGTAGGCAACAGCCGATAGAGTTGCACGGATGATGTCAGAAGCATCGGATTCATAATAAAACCCCTTTCGACAAATTCTGTCGAAGAGTTCTCCTCCTAGTGCAAGATCGGTCACGAGATATACTGTTATTGTTAAAAACAGATAAGATATCAGTATTTACCAGACTTGAACTTTTGGTCTTGAGATTTTAACACGGAATGGATTAAAGCGTTGGGCATAGTGACGACGCATAGGGTACCCTCTTGATTCTCCCTTGGGAAAAATAGAGTCAACGTTCACGTACAGTTGTTCATAGTTTCGAAGTAATCCACCAAAGTCAGAATATTCTGGTGGCCCATTGAGACCTTCTTTAAAACTGCAATTTCATTTCGTACCTAGGCTCATGGTTCAAAATCAGCTGCTGAGCATTTCTTGATTCTACTTCTCTCCATTTGGATATTTCTTTCTTTCTTTTTTTTTTACGGGATGTAACCTATTGTGTACCTGCTAGAATATTCCATGTACAGGTAAAACTTACCATGTGTTCCCTCCCTGCCATGAGCCTCTTGTTGATGACCTTGGATGCATAATATCGGCCCGTGTCGATATGTACGCACTCCTTGACAACACTGTAACTGCCAGCGCCTAGTGTCTTGCCCGTCTTATACCTGCACGGTAGAATCTGAGGCTTCGTTGTGCTGTGCGGTGGTGGCTGAGGGGCTTCGGAGATGGTAGTCATTATCGCGATAAGCTCGGTTGTGCGAGAGTTGTCGAGAGGAGATCCGTGTAACTGAGAATTATGAACTCTGTTGGGGGGGGGGGGGGCGTTGAGATTGAGATAGTGTAAACAGCGCGAACGGTGATTCCAGATTTCTGGAGCGCAGATGAAGTGGGAAAGGGGGGAGGGAGAGGGAGGGGATATTGCTTGTTATTCTTGAGGAGGACAAAGACGATGTCAGCACGCAGGGCTGGGGTAATAATAGGTATGTTGTAACTTGTATGTAGTAGCTCACTGGCAGGGCGCAGGGCAGGGAACGAGTAAGGGTGGGGCAACCAACCCGCTCCGGCTACGGCGATCGGCTCTTTTATTAATAGCCTCACATTATCACATTAAAGTACATCGTTACGCAGTGACAATTTCACATGGAACCAGAGAATAGTTGAATTTTTGACCTTTTACTGTAAGCTATGCTGAGATACCTCAAACCCCAGGGAAAATCCGCCATGTGAGCACAGAAAAGAATGAAGATAGGGAAAAAAAACAAATATCCCCACGAAGAAAAAAAAGACCCCACTAAGATTTAAGAAAGAAAAACCCCCTTTACACAGCTATCATATAACAATTCAAGATTTTCCTTACACGAACCACATGGCGTGTTTCAAACTATCGTGAAGGTTTCTGATATCTGGCACCTCAGTCGGGGGTAAATCCCTGGATCCAGAGGTCGATGTAGTCACAGTATGTGTGTCGTCAATATTCTGCTCATGCGCACGGGCACGAGTAGATGCCAAATGGGCATAGTAAGCAGCCGGCACTGTAGTTATGAAGGTTAGTATATATATATATTTAGATAAACTCGACAAAAGCTTACCTAGAGAGACAGCGTTTGTAGCACGACACCAAGTATAACAGGTATTGTAGATTAATGCTTGAAACCTATCCACAGGCATCTTGTTCTCATCATGAATAACATGGTAATGAACAGGACGTGCAGTGCCTTGGATCGCGTTATGGGCAGCCAGATCTAAAATTTATTAGTATACTTTTGAGGAGCCTCAGACAAGCGGAGAAACTTACAAAAATCATACTCAGTAGGATGAGTGATATCCCTTTCCACAATGGTTCCAGGCAAGCAATTGCCGTTCCTGTCCTGGTTGGCCCTATCGACCGGGAAAAACCGTGAATGGTGGCGTTTGCTGCAGATGGTTACAGTGATCTTGGGGTTGTAATTATTCTGCAACACATGGCATGCTTCTCGCATATCGTGCAATTCCTGTTCAATTATGTGGGCGTATTGACCCTCACTAACTCCATCCCGGAAATAAAAAATGCGTCCAGGGATTTTATTTGTGGCCGCCTTGAAAGCCCGAAGTAGAGTGCATACGAATTTCATCATATTTTTTGAGGTAATCACCTCAACCCGAACCCCGTTGCTGTTAGCTATAGCGGCATAGCGCGTGGCTTGGACTGCAAGATTCGAGCTTAGTAATAATTCATTTAAAGATCATTTAACTGGAATCAACAGGGACTCACGATCAATTGAGCCGACCATTGAAGCAAAGGAAGGCTTGCCCGTTCCCGGGGCAGCATGGGAAACGTCGGCGCCAATCATAATAGATGCATCCTGACCGAACAAAGGATGATCTTCCTTCTGGATATAGATGGTACTACCACCCATCTTGGCATTGATCTTCATCGCAACATTAGAACAATATTGGGCTTTCATGGCCTGTACGTGATTTCTTTGGAGACCTGTTCAAATCAATGTCAGCTGTGGGCTAAGAAGTATTTTTTTGAAACCTTACACTGAGATACAACTCCGATATTGAGATCGCAATACGCCTTTATATCATTGTATGGCTGCGCCGCCTTGCCCATCAGGACAAAAAACAATATTTGCGGCTTGGCGTTGACTTTATTACCGGCCTTTTTATAAAGCTCGAAGATATTTGTACCCGGAGCCTTCTTGGGGTCCGCGTACATGATGGGGGGGTCTTTGGTTTCAATAATACCACCATGAGTGTTGTAGGTTGTGATAAACTGACGGAAAAACATCTTGATGGTATTCTCATCAATACCATAATTACCCGTAGGAGGACCAAAGACCATGATACCCCAACTCTTGACGGGGTTTGAGATCTTGGCAAACCTCTTGCCCTGAAAATTCCATTTCCCATCACTTGGCTGGATGTGTTGAGGGCCGTCTGACCCAACACCAAAGGAGAGTTTAGGCGTAGGCAGGATACGAGCTTTCGACTATTATTATCGGTTAGTATAAATGAAGGCACCTACGAGACGCAGAATAAACGTACCTGGATCATTCTAGTAGAAATTTCCATCCCATACTGTATAAGGAGAGGATCCTTTTTCCAGTCCAACTTCGCTACATTTTGAGCGATTTGTCCAGCCCGAATTGAAGGCCGCTGGACAGTGAACTTAATCATGTCCGATGTTTGACGATCGTCGAGTTTGAATGGATAACGTTGCCCCTTTGCCTTTGTCAGTACTAACTTTCTAAATAAATTCGGTATGGGGGAAAGGTATACCTCTACAATGAAACACAGCTCCATCGGAAAAACCTCGCCCTTCCTAGTTTTTATAAGAGGGAGTTTGGGATACCTTAAGCGCATGTTGTATTGCTTCTCAAAGTACTCCTTTATACTAATTTCGGTGGATGAAAACCCGCCCTCATTGTTTGGACGCCTAAGTTCGAATTTGTAATTGAGGGCACTGTCTTCGAAACCATCGATTATATAGGTCCTTCTGGTGTCCTGATCTCGGGAACGGTGCTTGCAGAAAAAGGCAATACGTTTCAGGCGTTTGAGGTCACGAAAAATAGGCCCCCTAGGACCTTGCTGAGTAAACTTGTTTGCCAAATCGTCTGCGCTCGCTGTAATATTCATGTCAGACAAAAATCTCACAAGAAATTAGTATGCGATAATCTTACATATACGTAAAAAGCGGAGAGCTGTATCTAAGACGCATCCTTGGGACCAGAAGACAGTCGTTGCTACATCAACGTTGACGGTCAAACGACCGCCCTGAGTAGCACGGACGGACTGAAAAATCCCCTTCCAGGCCTCAACCCCACGCTCCAACTCGCGCGCCCCAGACTGTTGGAAGAAGGAGCGTTTAATCGCGATAAAATTTTTTGCAGGTGTCTCACGAATGAGATGATCGAAAAAATTTATTCCCGCTAGGACATCATTATCCATCGCGTATGTACCACTTACAAAAGCATCAAGCATTTGGAGTGGAACCGTCCTAGCCAATGCAATGACGACTTTATGCTTATTTTCACGGGGGCTTCTGCGAGCTCTGGTATCGCCCTCATCCAAGTCAACGGTCAAAGTTAACCTTTGCCCAAATGGCAAAGGAATAATTGACCAAGCAAGTTTGTTTCCTGGAAGAAATCGTTAGTAAATCTTAAACGAAAAAATTGTAGAATGCCCCTCAAAAATAGTAAAATGGGCGAATTGGAGGGAAGCAGAATTGGGAGCGAAAAAAAGTTGGGAGATGAACTATGAGAAAGAACGTACCATCAAATAAGACAGTTGCTCTTGCCTGACCAAAAGCTGATTGAACGCCCTCGGAATACCAGACCTTTTTGATCAGGGCTCGCTTTTCATCCCCTTTGCCAATAGTAACCTAGATGGGGACAAAAAAGGTGATTAGAGAGTCCATGAAGGGAAGAAACAAGGAGAATCTCTTACATCATACTGGTGAATAGCCTTTGTGGGAAATTTTGTGACCTCATAAGAATTGAGGGAAATGTTGACCTGTTTACCTCTCGTACCGAAAGATGGTCTTTTCGGGAGAATCTACGATAGCACTGTTAGCACAAAACACATCGTGGTGATGACTAGAATGTAGAGAGTATGATGAGGCCTTAAAAGAAGATTCTATCTCTAGGTAAACGGGAAAGTGTAAAACTTACTAGACCTTCCGCCATAGTTTCGTTTTATCTGTTTAACAGATCGAATGTATGTGGTAGTTGTGGTGGTGGTGGTGGTGGTGGTGAAGAGGGAGATGGATGGATGATGATGGAGAGATGAAGGGATTGAAGAGAGGGATTGGAGAGAGGGGGGTTGGAGAGAGGGATTTGGGGGGGGGGGGGGGGAGGAGGGAAGTGGGGGGAGCGAGGGAGGGAGAGAGGGAGGGAGAGAGATAGAGAGGAGGGGGATGGAGAGTAGATCGGGTTTTGTAAAGATGACAGTGAATATCTGCCCTAGTGTTTGCTAGGGGATTTGTTAAGAAACTATTTCTAGGAAGTTTGACGCTACTGGAAAAGTTTCGAAGAGTGGTGGTTGGGAACGGGGATGACAGTGGAGATGGGGAAGAGGATTGGGTATTTATAGTGAAATTGAATGGAGGTAGCGGGCAGAGGAAGCGGACATAGAAAATACTACAATTGCCCGCTACAACATATGTGTACTACAATTCACTTGACAGACCAGAAGGGAGGCCTGAAGCACGGGCCCGAAGGCTTGGTCGGTTGATGTCTCGCTTGTGTCGCGAATCTGCAGCTTTACTCTTAAAGATTAGCAGCCGCGGGGTGGGGTGGGGAGACGCGTTGATCGCAACCATGCGGGGCTCATCCACGTTAAAGGTGACATCAAGTGCAGCAACTGTTAGATCAGGGGCGGATAACCCCGCTGTTCCCGGTGAAATTCTGCTTCAGGCATCCAGCCAAGACAATTGGATCAACACTCTCACACGTGCTCATCACGCGACGCGGTAATACTTTATTTATTGCCCGTGTAACTTTAAACAAACATGTATTCAGTCAGGCAACCAACGGGCAGAGCCAAATGGCAATTCCTTGTTAAGTTGTTTATCCATACTACATCTACACGTATGTCGGTAGTACTATGGTGCAAGTACGGGGGGCGAGCCTAGTATCCTTTCGTCTAGCGAAAAAATGCTGCCCACCCAATAAAAAGCAAACCTTTGTGTGTTTTACTAGCAGATCCTGTTATCTCTCTTATCAAAGAATAGATCTCTCATACAAATCTAATTTCTCTATTACAGGGCGGGCAGCACCGCCAGATTAAGGGATAGGACGTGTGTGATTTAACACCTTATTCAATTCATTTTCTTATTTGTATCAGTGTAGGTTTGTTCATCAATAAAACATGGCATTCGCGGTCGCGGTCGCTCAGGCCTGATTTTATGATCGTGGTACTGCACTAGCTAGCGCTACAGCCGTCACAGTAACTCAGCTGATCAACATGTTTGGACGTTAATCGCAATTGACCGTTTTGCCAAACAGGATTCCTAGATTCCGTCATGATAATATATCCAGCTAGAAACTTTCTCCCTTCATCAGTGTGGTAGCACTTGGCTGCCTGATTCGCCGATATCCTATGATACCAAATGCCAAGACACGAGTGATATATTGTGACTACAATCGACATGCATACATATACCGTATCGCTCAAAGAGCCGATAGGCCACCAACCATAATATACCGTAGATAAGAATATATATGGTGATTTTAAATCTTCGTAACGTCTCCCGCTCATGAGGTCGAGTAGCAAGTCATGACTTTTAATCTTAGAGCTAGAGCTAGAGGGTAGGAAGTCGTGACTTTTAATCAAACTTAGAGAGATAGAGGCTATAATAGGAAGGTAGCTCGTATATATATACTTTATACATGTGTGATTTCAAACGCCTCTTGCTATCGACTCCCTTCTTTCATTTGTCATCAATGAGTAGACTTTTCACTTTGTCATAACTACATATATATAACAGATTATATTGCTGACATTATCATGCATATGCATGGTCACTCCTTTGATATTATCCTCTGCCGGAAATATCACGCCTCCTGTGAGAAGTATTATATAGTGGTACTGGCTACAATCCAAGTATCCGAGCGTCTCTCTGTTTCCAACGGCCGCTGCCTATGAGTACATGTAGCGGCTGTTTTTGAATTGCAGCAGCTTTAAGGCGATACCGAGAATACTATACCTGTAGATATAGGTACATGATGATTATATATATGTACATATAGTTACACATATAGACTTCAAAGTGCTTAAGTATGACCAGTAGCGCCCACTCGAAGTTTTAATTGAATCTATGTCTGGAGTGACATATATGTGTTGCGACACGTTCTTTGAATCATGATTATTTGTCAGATCACCATAATTATAAATTCTAATAGCAGTGATATAAAGCTTAATTAAGACTAGTATCATCACCATTATCATCATTTATGGTACCGGTCATAATTTACGGTCATCATTAATTACGGTCATCGATCATTAATATTTACTTTGTTAATTATAATACCGTACCTGATTGCTCACAAGAGCTAGATTCTAAACGCAAACCATTCTGTTAAAACCCGTAGTTATTTGTAAGATACTGCGACTGATATGGGATTTAGAGGTTTCTAGGGCGCTAGTAGGGACTCCAACATCATATTGCAGTTAGATCTATAGACGTCGTGAAGATTGGAATTTAACTTTAAAAAGTGATATAGAGAACTATGTAGACGTTAGTTGGTAATTGAATACTGAGCTAATCATGAACTAAGTACATACTTCTCAAGTACTCAGTACCTAAGTGTGTACGTATATACATGTCTTCTGCCCCGGTCGATCGTCAGCGCCCCTATCCAATGGCCGTCATTGGCAAGTCTTTAAAAAATTGGTCAATGCCTCACAACATTTAACCAATAAGCGAAAGGTATAACATTTGGCCTGAAAAGAAATAATGACTACATAAAGTATCTCTGATTTTATAATATCAACAAATTAGGTGTAAGGTAATATACATGTAGCAATTGAGGTCTATCTATAATGTTGAACATGAACCTATTCGAGACGGACCTAAGAAATAGGAATAGGCTCGATTCTTCTCATTTCATGGCCATGAGCTGCTCTGAAAGCTCATAGGAACCTGATTTTGGAATTACTTTTGATGTGTTGGTATTGATTGTAAACAACCCGAGTACTAAATAAACCGAACTTTTGAGTTTCGCACCGCAGCGCCGTACCAACCGAAACAGGGCCAAAACACTCAAGAAACCTTAAATAGAAGAGTGTAAGAGATCATATACATTTAGACTCTTTCACTGGGTATGGTAAGCACGGGGGGATATGCTCAATCTCAAATATACTCTACGCCGGAGTGATAAATGATACGCGGAGGGCCGATCGACTACTTTTTTGGTTTCCATTGAAAATCTTGGAATTAACCACAAATCCTTATTATTGACCATAACCCCCGTGAAGGCGTCTACATTGCAGTCTCCAATTCTCTGAGGTAGTTGGACGGCCTATTCACCAGCAGACTTGTTTGTTGACCAATAGTATCTGGTGATGATCATGAGCTGTACAGCTGTACAACTGTACTAGTACTAGTGGGAAGGGAAATATATCCCGTCTATATAGGTAGCTACATGTATCCATGGATTGCACGTAGCAAGGCCCAGTTGTCTGATATGAAATTACGAGGCCGAGAACTATATGTATGTACATTTTTGGGACGGCCGGCTTGGGGCTCTTCAATTGATCGATTATCTCAGATCAATTACATGTATATTCCAATATTAGCATAAACTTAGCCACAAGTGACAAGTGTACTATCAGTGAAAGTAAGTTCGCAAGTCGAATCATTATCGCTGTATATATTCTATGATGCGGATACACTCATTTACTTATCTTAAATATAAAGCACATTTTAGAAAATTCAAAAAATAACCATGATGAAAAGAAGAAAAAAATAAGAACGCCAGCCCAATCCGTTCGCAGCCCTTTTATAACCTACAGCAAAAGGGTGAATATATATATACCTATAGCGCAAAACCCATACACAAACATAAATAGAGTGATGAAGATTAGTTTCTCTCGATAATATCTAATATCTCTAAAACCTGTAACGTCCAATACTTTTTTTTAATTATAAGCTAAGGAAAGTTGGATGGAGGCCCTGAATTACTTACCAATAATTCTGTCCTTCAGAGGTTGGCGTAAGACCGTTTAAATCAACAAATACTTCCATATCGCTGTTGTAGTAGTGGGGTATTAGTTGACCCGGAGTGTATGTAGTAGTGCCGGTAGCGGAACGTGTTGAGTTGTATTCACAAAGTGTTGAAGGCGACGGCGGAATTATATTGGTGCCGATTGTTTCATTTGGTATTTGTAATTCCTGACCGAGATGTTGATAGTAGGGGGGGTCATCAGCGGCATTAGGTCGACCTGTCAAGTTGTAATCGGTAGTTCCCGGTACTGTTAAAGGAGGTGTCATAGTAGAACTCATTACTTGGTGGTAATAACTCTCCGGTCCCCGTGGTCGTATATGATTTTGGCTCCATTGTGGTTGCTGAGATCTTGAATGTCCCTGATGTTGATGAGAAAACATATCCCAACAATCGCTCGTGGGTTCAGGTGAGCCAGTAGTAGAAGTCGCCAATTCCTCGTCGTCATGGCAATATCCGTGTTCCAGTCCATCATCTCCATCTTCAAGATCACTATCCGTAAGGGTTGTGTTGATCCCTATCTCCTTCAATATCTGATTGGCGAGCTTGCCGCTGGCCAGACCAGTTATAGCTTGGGTTTTTGGAAGAGGAAGATTCTTTCTGAGACGATTCAATTCAATCAATCCTCCTATGAGAACTTGACATTTGCTCTCCAATATCTCGACGTAGCTAATAATGTTATTGTGTCAACTTCGAGCCTTTTGTTCTCGGGGGAAGGAGAGGTGTAGGCATACCCGTCGGGATAAACTCTGCCCTTTGGCCGTTTACGTTCCGTAAAAGTGCAAACCTGGTCCGCCTGGTTGCATCGGCGGCATGGATTGCTACCATCGCACTGGAATAATCTCAAATTAGATCACGAGCACAAAATTTCATTGAGCAATATTAACAGACATACGGGATTCATACCTTGCTTTTCTTCAAGCGGCATCGATCACAAGCTTTGCCAACCCTTTTTCGATGGCTATTGCCGTTGCGGGGGGATCCGGATGTACCATCAAGTTGGTCAGGAGAATGTGGAGAATAATAACTGGGACTCCCTAAAGAACTCATCGTTATTGGGGTCTTACTATCTAGTGAGACGATGTAAAGATATGTGTGAGTAGCTAGGAGGGGGGGGGGGGGGGGGGGTGAAGATAGATTCACAAAAGTCGAAGGGAGGGATGTGAGGCAAAAGAAATCAAGAGAGAGGAGGCTCTGCTCTATATATTATGTTGATCTTGCTCTATAGCTAGCTGTACAGAGCCTCGGGTGAGCTGAGGCTTGGGTTTATATTATATACATGTTCGACCATAAAGCCTATATATTCACTCCCAAGGGATGTCATCCAGTGGCACAAGCAACTGGCTGTTTACATGTAGTTCTATCGCATTGTCATTCGGACTTTAGCACGCAGTAGGAAACGGCTCGGATTGCAAAGTAATCGCTACAGCAAAAGAAATATGCTCGAAGATGGACCTCAGAATGCACCTAGAACAAACCCCTGCTCAAACCCAATCTCTCATTGTATTCTAAATATGATCATGACATCCTTCGATCCCCTCATTTCTCTTGATTGGGGCTGGTTATTGGTAATTTATCACGAAGAGCATTGCTTGTGGAGACAAAACTAACGCCAACATTGCATTATTGACCTTCCTAATAGGATCAATTCAAAGCTTGTCCCAAATAACAGCCAGAAAATAAAGCGACCCTCTTTGAGTTGAGTGTTCTCCATACTCAGACTTCAGCCATGCATGCCCAAAATGGGTTAGTCCGAGTACTAAGGCAAGGCTTTCCGTATTCCAGAAGACAGATCTTAACTCAAATTCCGTCTGTTATGGCTTCATCGAGAGAACCGCGGGATTTCCATCAAAGAGGTGTTGAGGCTGTCTTATTTCCATGTGGTATAGTTCGCAACATCGGCCAATCCTAAACGACTTACCAAGAAGCAAATCCGGCTTACGCGGTGCATACACCATAGATTGTGTGTGCTTACTTGCTTCAATACCCCCCTGCTGTAAGCGCAGACCCCACTACTAGCGTCCAATGCAAGAAGGAGTACTGCACACACAGCAATAGCTTGAAACATGGGAGGGAGGATCGAGAAAAAGGTTTCTCGGAATTCATATAACCAATCGGGTGTAACATATGTATGCTACTACTTACTGCACAAGAATAGTACTCTACCCGCTTGTAGGGGAGGGCCAGCCTAATTTCGCAATCGATGCTAAGCCCCTCAAACAAATATATCTCTACTCGTTGATCATGATGACACACACTACCAGTGAAGGAGGAAAACCCGCGTACATAATTAGTAAACTAAGACTACGAGTGGCCGACTACATGTAAGCATGCAGTTAGAACACAATGTCATAGAGTTGTCTTTACATACTCACTATTGGCATTGGGAGCTATACAAGCCAAGACGTACATACATTTATCTTTTATTCCTCCTTAACATCCGTGTAAATGTAGGTACACGGTATTTTACTTTACAGCCATGATGAAGTGCCGTAGAGGCGTAGAGTTTCTAGGTACCGTAGCTCAGTAAGGGTACTGCACCGGTTGCCACTGTTGCTTGTCACCCCACATCAACGCTAGACCATCTCGCTCCTTCCCTTCCCTTCCCCGCCCACTTTCCAGTTACACCCCTCCCGCTCAATCATCTCTTCGTTCCATCTGATACTTGGAAAGAAAAAGTGTCTAGAGAAGTGTGGAAGGGTACACAGAAGAAATATAGACAACTGAGAGAAGGCCTGCAATATACCGATTGAGACGAACAGAGAGGTAGCTTTGAAAACACTCCAAAAGAGGGGAAGTTACATTAATTGCCCACGTATCGGTCTCAAAGCTCACATCGCCGTTGGCCACTAAGCTTCTCTCCCACCAAAGAAGGGATCAGTATCTTCGCCTCTGCAACCCATAGTTCCACTCTTCTCCAGCAATAAGCTATTTTTCAACGGCCGATTCGAATAATTTGAAAGTAATGTCTGATCTACCACCGTATTCACCGCCCACGAGCAGTCTCAACACACGAGCAAGTATCGGAAGTCTTCGCGGTGCTCCTCACCCACCGTCCCCGAGATCTCCGTCTCGTCATCCTTCAGTCTCACAGCACTCGATGGCCGACATCCTATCTAGTCCTCCCCAACCGAAACAAGAAGGTGGGGCAATCTTGCGGGATTGGAGGAGTGTAAAGGTCGGAGAATTACTCAGCCAGAAGGAGCTCCGTTTTGTTGATCTTGAGACTCCCGTTGAATCTGCATGTCAGGTATGTCCTTATTTCCTCAATCCCTTTTGGTGTTACTCGTATCCGGGGGGAGGTCGGGACGGCCCATATATAAACCTTCACCGACGGGCTACTTCCGGTTGGGTAGTCTTCGAGAAGAAATTATGCTTCTTCTATGCAGGAACTCCATTTCTAACTGCTGGCATGAGGCTACTTTAAGATGCTTATCGACTATGAACTTTCATCTATCCCAATACGCTCATCTCCTACTGAGCAGTCTGTCTGTGGAACCTTTGATTACAGCGATCTATGCGCCTTTCTTCTCCTAATTATGGGTCTCTACCAACCCGAAGAAGACGAGGACATGTCCTCATTCGAAGAACTGGCAAAAAAAGCTCGCGCGGGATCAGCTATCCCCGTCAAGCTCGTCAAAGATCTTGGGAAAAAAGACCCGTTCATCACAGTATCCGAGACGGAAGGGCTTTCTAAAGTGGTGGAAATATTTGGAAGTGGAGTTCATCGAATAGCTGTAGTTCGCGAGGGGACTGACCAGGTCATCGGAATGCTTAGCCAGTTACGCCTTGTCTCATTCTTTTGGGAGCATGGACGAAGTTTTCCAGAAATTGATCAACTCTACCCCCGGAGTCTTCGTGAGCTCAATATGGGTTCTGCCGATGTCATCTCCATAAAGTAAGATATCTCCCTGAAAGCGCAAATAGCTCCTTGCTGGGGCTTTCACGTGATGCAGTGATGCAGTAGACCGGGTTGCCCAGTAGAGTACCAAATTTTTTGGTATCCAGTGCGTTGGAAGGTACCCAGACATCCGTTAAGCAAGGACCATTTTGTGTTTGCTTGATAAATGGAGAATTAGGGGCACATATCTGGAGTTACTGCGGCTATACCGGTCTATGCATCCTGCGGGCCACATTTAGGCGATGATATACTGACGTATTATAGTGGAGACAAAAGAGTCCTTGATGCACTGGAACTAATGAATTCCGAGGGAATCTCGTCATTAGCTGTTATCGACAACCAGCACAATGTTATTGGAAATATTTCCACCTTGGATGTTAAGGTACGTTAAACAACGCTCATGACAGACATTTCCTATCTCAAAGCAAAGTACTGACATTTCAATATAGTATTTAACTAGGTCCAGTTCCATGCCCTTGCTAAAATCTTCATGTCTTCATTTCATTTCGGTCATCTTGACAGACAGGGGTTTGAACGATGGCAAAGATTCATATCCAGTTTTCCACGTGAATTCACAGTCATCCCTTGCCCATACTATCGCCAAACTCGTGGCTACACAGGCGCATAGGTATATTATTTTATTAGATGCTTAACCTTCTTTTTGTGTTCATTACTTACGATATGTATCTTCACAGGATGTGGGTGGTCGATTCTCCTAGCCCTGCATCAACGGCTCCGCCAACCCCTACAATCTCTCATGCTGTTGCCGTCCCTCCGCCATCTTTGATGAGCCCTAATCTTCCATCTTCATCGTTTCCATTATCTGGACCGTCAACGATCAACGCTGGCTCGGTCCCTGGAGCACATCTTAGTGGGCGTCTTATTGGTGTGGTATCACTCACGGATATTCTCAACCTATTTGCAAGAAGCTCGGGATTAACCCCGGTTGATCCGAACGAAGCAAGAAGACAGAGACGTAGAAGCTCATCAAGCTCTATGAGGGCATCCTTTGACCAGAGCAGCAGAAGTTCTATTGATTTGCGTGAGCTACGCGAGCAAGCAAGCAGGTCTTCATTTGAGATTCGTAGATGAAACTAGCCGCGGCGTGGGACAAAGGAACTGTGGGCATTGTTTCGTCCAACCTCTCCTTACTTTTCTCTATTCCTTCGGGAAAGTTACTAAGTATTTTGTATCATAAGTAGAGTAGGCCAGTTCCCCTTGTTTTAAGCCCGGTGGTGTAGTTGAAATTATTTCTTAGGGAGGAGATCATTTGGTGTGTTGTGAAATTGAATGATGGGGTTTTTTTTATCAAGTGGCTGGCCAGGCTTTGCTGAAATTTACCATCAATGAGAAGCGCATACCTTTATTCTTTATGCGAGTTTGAGATATCTGCGAGCGTATCATACATACGCTATGCCTCGGCCTCATCCACTACTACTAACAGTAGCCTATTAGCTCACATGGTGGCGGCTAAAGCCTATATGTAGTAAGTAGGTACATGTATGTACATTTAGCTACGGCACGAGTCCTCAAATACATAGTGTAAACATGTCGGTCTTATGTCATCTAATGTACGAAGGAAATAATTATTCAGGAACCAAGGGCTTGCTACTGGCCGTGTTCTTGCACATACAGAAAGAGCCTAATTGATGGTGCCACTAGAGTAGTGCAACGCAAATAATTTGCTTAGCGGCCGCGACCCTTGTCACTAGAATCGCGACGTCCAACGTCCCTTCCCGCAAAAACTACACCTCGTCCCATCACGAGAAATCCAGCCATGATTGTCAGGAATTCACTATTACGGGAAAGTCAGTATTCACCCCACTTGGGAGATGTAGAAGAAGTGGGTACCAGGCCAGGTCACTGACGAAGAGGAGCGGATACAGGCCGACTGGCATTTCAATCGGTTTCGAATACCTCGAGGATAGGGTGGGGCAGGAGTCTGGCCACTCTGGGGCAGAACAACCAATCTCATGGAGCCCAAGCAGTCCAGAAGAACCCGGAGCAGGCTTTTACTACTGCCGAAGCATATATCAATTCTAGGAATTTCAGTATGATTTTTCCACTCCTCGTTACCGGATCGGCTTCGCGCATTGAAGCTTCTTGAAACTCTTTTTTTTGAGGGAGATCACTAATCTCGGTACAGAAA